TTAGTGAGTTTTCCTTGACATGTTCTTTTCTTTTGTGTTGACTACCATCTCAGTTGCATTCTCAACATGCGAGGTGACGCAAGCTGTCAATTGTCAACTTTGTAGGTTATTAACAAGGTGTCTGACGCAAGTTTCTTTCTGCGCAAATAAAAAAACCAGACAGACTAAATGGAAGCACGTATTTGAAGTTTTCACAGCTGAATTGAAAGCTCAGTAGGACTCCTCTTTTTTTTTTTTTTTTTAATCCACGATGATGTATTTGACTGACACTCTTCAGTCACCTCGTAGCAGCAGGACGTTCCAGCACTTAAAAAGGTTTCTTTTCTAATTGGACGCAATGAGAAGAAGCCGTCAGAACAACATCTGCTCTGTCTGCTGGATTGTCCTTCGACGAGACGCCTGCTGAATCCAAACTTCCCTCCCATGCTGTAGTTTTATGTAACTTGACATTGACTGTGATGCTCGGTGTGTCTGTGTGACTTTGCAAGGACGCAGGAGAGTTAAATGAAAAAGTGGGGAACGCCTTGCCAACCCACTTGTTTCCATGGATACCTAAAGCACAAAATAACCGCAACATAATCGTAAAAACCCATACATGTTGTTATACATTCATTCCTCACTCGCGGGGCAGATATGTGGCTCGGTGAGATCAATTTTACCATTTCATGCACCTCTACTGCACGATAAGTACTTCTGTCTCGTTCCTCGTGTGGCACTGGGGGTATTTTTTTTCTATCATTTCCAAAATGAAGCTTGTTTGTTGCAGCAGAGGATATATATATATATATACACACAAAGTGCTGAAAATGGCAAAAATAACTGAGCGCAGTAAATATGATAAACAAAATAATAAGGGTGTATAAAAATGTGTCCATAGGCAGAAGCAGGCCTATTAAACACAACAACAAAAAGTGGAGAGGGGGGGATGTCACATTGCTGCTAAGAGGAAAATCTCCTCGCATTGGTCGATCCGCTATAAGGCACTTACTGGAAAAGTTCTTTGATCCCAGCATGACCAGGACTATGTGTCCTGGCTAATTAACAGTCCGCTGACATCTGAGCGCTGAGGATGCCAGCTGCTGGTGTGCAGGCAGTTGGAGTCGGCCTGCTTCCTATTCTTTCATGTGCATAACCATGGTGACGATTTGTACGTATAATCACGGTATAAACGCGGCTCGTGAGGACTCTGATGGCGCTCAATTATTTTCGTCTCACCCTCTGTCAGTCCGTGTCGCGCCGCCGTGTTTGACGCCAACATATTGTTTCCGACCGGCTCTCGTGTCATCTCTCTCTCTCCTCAGTCCAGGGGTTTCTAAATGACAACAACATTTCAAATCACAGTCACAGGTAATGAGAGCGTGGGCAGTACCGGCGCCATGTTTCATTAACTCTGTCCTTAAGTCACCAACGCAGGAAACAAAACTGATTTCCTACTGTTTTTAAAACTCTGACTCACGCCCCGGTCCGACCTCGCTTCTCTTTCTACCTCCTTCTTCCATCCCTCCCTCCCCAAAACACTCCGTCAACCAAATAATCAAATGATTGCAATGCAGCAGGTTTCCAAGTCTGCTTCCCTGTTTACCTCCCTGTCAGCAGCGGTCATCCAAGTGTGGGTTTTCCTCACACTGACAGCGTGACAGTTTGACTACCTTCCTGTCTTATGTGTGTTTTTCAGAGGGTGTGTTAGAAATGACCAGAATGCTCTTATCAGAAGCATCACATCTTCTTGATCGCTCATTTCCCCCTCCTCCTTTTACTTCTTCATTCTTGTTGTTAATGATTGCTCAGTAATTTCCTAAGAAACAGAAATAATCCAACACCTGATGAAGCCCCGGTAGTCCATGCCTGCTTCAGCATTCATCACAGCTTAGGTATACATGCCTAAAGCGAAGTAGTTTTCATTTTCATGCAGGCCCTGAATATAAGATAAACAGACGAGCGCTGCAGGGGGGACTGACATGTAGAGGAAAAGCACAGAACCAGGTATGTGGACTGACCGCTGATGAAGTGAGTGCTGCTCTGAAGTTTAAAAAGGATGCCTGGATATTTTAACACAATCCTCTTAGAAGCATTTTTAGTCAAAGTGAAGTACATCAGTGACATAGTTTAAGCCGTATGAGTGAGCTAAAACTGCTGTTGCTTTCTAATTTTCTGATGCAATCATGACCAAGGTATGTCGGTAAGTTGTTACAGTTTTGTGAGCATGAAACTGGAGATTTCAGGTTCTAACAAGGGATTTAAATGAACCTAATGTAACCGGTGGATTCTTTACTGTGTTGTGCAACATCAGCTGAAGCATGGATCTTTTTGGAGGCGAGCTCCGTTTATTTCAACTTAGCAGACGACAAAAAACATACAAAATCCGCTGTCAGTTCCTTGTCCCCGGACAGAAATGAAATGATACACAAACATATTGCAACTGGGAAACTTATAGGTGGAATTACAGACATTAGAACACACAGATTACAGCGGCACAGTCTTGATTATGTCTCCCACAGAATACATGAACTAAAGGGGCGAGGTAAGGCGGGAAAAAGCCATTTACAAGACAGGGTGGGCAACCAAAAGTGTATGTGGGGTACTGGGACCCCCCAGTGAAGGTTCCACACAGTCGCTGAGGGGCAGCCCAGATTTTGTGTGATTATAACAATCAAAATAACAACAATAAAATGACATCATGTATCACCAATATCCATCCATCCTTTATCTATACACTGCTTAGTCCTCAGGATCATGGGGGGCTGGAGTATATCCCCGCTGACTCAGGGTGAAGGCAGGGGACACCCTGGACAGGTCACCAGTCTGTCACAGGGCTACACTTAGAGACAGACAACCAAGCACACTCACATTCACACCTACGGACAATTTAGAATCACCAATTAACCTCAGCATGTTTTTGGACTGTGTGGGAGGAAGAACCTGGAGAGAACCCACGCTGCACGGGGAGAACATGCAAACTCCATGCAGAAAGATAGAACAGGCGACCTTCTTGCTGCGAGGCAACAGTGCTAACCACCGCTCCACCTTGCAGCCCTGAAACAATACATATATATTCAAAACCGCTGCTGCACCGCTGACCCGGTTACACTAACAGTCCACGTGCAGCACTGTAAGAGTGCAGTGCAGAAGTTCAAATAGTCATGTAACTGCACTCTACAGCAGAGGATGAGCTGTACATTCTGCAAAGCAACAGAAAAATGACTTGACTGGTTGACTGAAAACCAGCATCTTCATAACTGGATGAATGAACTTGTTCATTTTCATGAATGAATGAGTGGAGAAAGCAGCACCGCAGAACTAAATAGAAGAAGTACATGGTACGTTGGGAGCGTGACACCAACTTCCTCTTTGTTTTGTGGCTCAGATGTTGATGAGACGTGACACTGAGCTGATCATTTTCAACCATCTGGGGACACCTGGTGGTCGGTTAATGCTACAAACTGTTCACGGGACCTGAAGAGCTTTTCATTTGCTTTATTCAAACAATGACCCTGGAAACCAGGAGGTCAAATGTTAAGAACAAAACAGATTCAAAAGAAGACGAGGCACTGATAAGTTTGATTTGTGATCTCTGCATCTACTTTGTCAGAGTTTGGATCTTGCAGCACTATTTAAAACTCAGGACAAGAAACGGCTGCAGTTTTCTCTGCATTTTATATCAGCTGTGTAAATGTGATAATTAGTTGTTTATCTCATGTAGACAGGGGTATCAGTCTGTGGTTTACCATCTCTTTGGAGCATGTATTTTATCACCAAGGAGCAGATGTACCAATTAGATAAAAGCTTTACTCTTGTCTCACTTTCCTCCATGCAGTCAGGCCTTTTGAGACGTGACGATCTTTACATGCACCATATGTGATCGTCCTCCGTCCATCCATTATCTATACACTGCTTCATCTTTACCAGGGCATATGTGATCATTTAGAGCTGTAAGGGCAGTCAGAGCTTCATTTGATGCTGTTCAGATGATTTGACAGTTTGCATTTTGACTGACTGTAGAAAAAAAAGGTTAAAAGGATGTTTTATTTCATGCCGAGCATCTTGTCTTACTGCAAATACACACTGACTGAAGCACAAGCTTGTTTTCTGATTATTTTCAAATTGTTTGTGTAAAATAATCTAAACTTAGATGGTGTAAACAAATTAAGTCATATTAGATAGATTAGATGAGCTCAGATAGAACTTTATTGATCCCTTTGGTGAGGTACCTTCAGGGAAATTGTTGATCTAGAAACAACACCGACAGAGACAGTAGCACGCATCAATAAAGAAAAAAAAAAAGCAGTAGACAAGGAAACAGGAAACATACTGTTAGGAAGAACAGCAGCATGGTGTAATAACAGTAATAAAAATATAATAATAGTAATAATAGCAATGTAAATAATAATAATAATAATAATAATAGCAATATGCTATATAATAGGTAACAATCAGTGGTAGGTAAATATAGTTGAGTATATCAAATATAAAGGTGTATCAGATATATATATATATATAAAGGACATGAATAAATGAATAAATATATATGTGTATATATACATTACACCAGTGGTTCTCAAACTTTTTGAGCCACGACCCCCAAGATAGCATAAGTTTGTGTTCGTGATCCCCCAGTTTGAATTTTTAATATATCATGAGTAATAACTTTGTTGTTCATGCATTAAAAATGAATGTGTTAATTATACAGATTAATCTCTTTACATGAACACGTTCACTTTCTTTGGAATGAATTGAATTTATTTCGAACAAATGAAAGGGAAAAAATATAAACACAAAAGAAAATCATTTTAAAAAGAGCAGAAAAGAAGAATAATATGGCATAATCAAATCATAATATTAAGAAGTTCGAAAAAGGAGTGGGAAGAAGTGTACACTGTTAATTTTGACAGCCCTGATACAAATTTGTTTGATAAATGTATACTTTATTTATTTATTTATTTATTTATTATTATTATTATTATTGTTTTTTTTTTTTTT